ACTTTTCCAGAATTTTGGTGGTTCAAATTTCAACATGATTTTAATAACTGCGCCTTCCTGTTAATTTTAACACCTAATTTTTGTTATTAAACACCTCATTGTTAAATAACAACTCATTTCTGTTATTTAACAGCAAAATCGAAAATTCAAGCAATGTCGGACAGAGTCTGGTAGCCTATGTTTGGAGATAAATGCCGATATGGCATTTATTCAAAAAAAATATTAACAGGAATAAACTGTTAAAATAATGGGAAAATAATGGTAACTCTGCTGCCAGTAATTTCCTGTTATTTAACAGGGAAATAATTAACAGTGTTTCTTGTTTAAGTTCCTTAAAAATCAGAAGTTTTCCGCTTGAAAATCTTGAAATAGTTGACTATATCTCAGCATAAACTCCGAGATCACATGGTGATGTAACATGCTTGTCACTCTTTTATTCAGAAAAGTTATTAGAAACTATTTTAGGCACAATATACTATTGTGATCATATTGTAATGCGATTAATTGGAAGTTGTAATTAGTTAATATAATGGATAGGTTTAAGGTTTATATCAAATTATTAGCTATATAATGCCCATAATGATATGCAAAAGGATTTTTAAGAAAAGCTGAAAAAAAAAAACCCAATAAAAACCAGACAGCGAAACAACAGGACAATTGTGGTGTAAATTTGTGCCGTCTAAGCAGCATATCAACATTTGCTTGAAGACCAAATATAAATGTGAGGCATTTACACAGCCTATCACTCATAACAGATAATAACATGGATGGCACTGTAAAAATTATTGTAATTTTAAAAGTTCCCGTACCATACAGAGAAAAACTGAGATCTAACCTAACTTTTTGTGTAATTTTACCGTAAAATGCTGTTGAACGTGCTACTTTCTGCAGTAAAAATAGCAAATCATCTGGTAAGTGTTAATGAAAAGCTGTAAACTGACTTTTCCTGAATTCTCTGTGACGCTTCAAATGTGATGGTTTGAATATATTAGGTTTCTTCTTTTTTTTTTTTTGTATCATCTATGTACATTGATTTTGTTACATGTTGCCCCTCTTGTGTGTGGGGTTCCACAGGGATCTATACTGGGACCAATTTTATATGCTCCCTCTAGGCTCGATTTTTGAGAAATTTGGGATTCAGTATCATCTGTATGCGGATGATTCTCAAATTTATCTACCATTGAAACATGGGCATAGATGTGCCATTAAGTCTCTCCATGCATGTTTGGCCGAAGTTAAGTGTTGGCTTGCGAATAACTTTCTCCAATTAAATGAGGATAAGACCGAGATGATTTTATTTAGAAATAAGGGGTCTGTGGATGATGACTGCCTGGGGTTGTTTCCTGGGAAAAAGCGGTCTAGTGTGAGGAACCTTGGTGTCATTTTTGACTCTGAGCTTAAATTTGACCGGCAAATCAATGCTGTCGTTAAGAATAGTTTTTTCCATCTTAGATCAATTGCTAAATTGAAATCTATCCTTTCTTTTGATGATATGGAGAAGGTTGTTCATGCCTTTGTGTCTTCCAGTTTGGATTACTGTAATGTTTTGTATCTGGGACTGGGTGTGAGTCAGGCCTCTCTCTCCCGTCTGCAACTCGTTCAGAACTCAGCTGCCAGACTTTTAACGGGTAGGCCTACTAAGAAGAGAGAGCACATTACTCCGGTTTTAATTAAATAACACTGGTTACCCATAAGATACAGAATTCAATACAAAGCATTGTTGTATGTTTTTAAGTCTCTGAATGGCCTAGCACCTGAGTATATTACTGACTTAATCAGCCGCTGTCAATCCAGTAGATCTCCGCGCTCAAATGATCAATTGCTTCTCATGGTTCCGCGATCCCGTTTGAAAGGTAATGGTGATTGGGCTTTCTCTTTTGCAGCTTCTAGGCTCTAGCCTAATACCAGACTCTGCTACTTCACAGGAGCGAAATTAAATTAGCGGAAGTAAGTCTGACGTAGTCAGGCTACCTAGGCTCTGGAATGACCTTCCCCTGTCTATAAAATCTTGTCCTTCATTGGGTGTTTTTCAGAGTGCGCTTAAAACTTACTTGTTCTCTTTAGCATTTGATAATCCTTTGTAAGTTTTTATGTCATATGTCATGTGCTTGCATCGTTTTTATGTCTTTATTTTACTTTTTATTTTATTCCTTTTGTACAGAACTTTGGTTTCTCTTGTGGTCTTGAAAGTGCTCTATAAATAAAGTTGAGTTGAGTTATGTTGTTAAAGAATAACTAAACACTTAACCAACTTTTTTTTTTTTAGTTAATGATCTTGGATCTTTATTAATACCAGTCATTGATTCAAGTAGCTTTTTTGACATTTGTTTATAAAGTGTTCTATTTCTACAATATAGGCCTATGGTGTAAAAACGTCTTAGTGCTGCCCTCTTCAGGTTGAACGGTGGCTACTGCAGTTGAATTTTCCTATTGGATGTTCCGCACTTCGTGACGTACGCAGGTTTCAGCTCACAATGCGAGCTACGCCCTTGGCAGTATAAAAAACCATCTTGTGTCGTCAAAACCACTGTAGGGAGTCAGGAATTGAAATTGTGAGTACTGAAAACGATCAGGATAGAGTGTTTTAGCATCTATTTCGTCCCCTCTTTCTCCGCTGGGGTATGCCCACTTTTTCAGCATTTTCAAATATTGCCAGTGGGTGGAGTCAGGCTTAGTTACCCATGGCCTTGCTAATTCAGAACGAATGGGCTGTTGGATTTGCCTTTTTTTAAAAAAAATAATAATAATAATAAAAAAAAAAAAGTTACAGGTCATTCTGTAAATGTAAAAAATTTTAATTGTATTTTTTATTGAATTATTCTGGCAATTATTTAAGCTTTTTCAGTGAGTCTTCACTGATTTTAAAGAAATATCTACAAGATATTGAGTGTTTCTGTGTCAGTTCCTGCTAGATCATATAGCAAGTGGTTAAGATTGGGAAAAAACAATCATTACAGCCAACAGGAAAACATCTCCTGGGAGTCTTTCCCCAATTAAGAGCAGGTGAACAGGTAAGCATAATTATGTCCAATATCCAGCCTCATTTTCCCTTAGATACAGCGTTCATGGGTTTAGCTGTTTGCTGGTAATGCATACAGAAGATGGCAAATAGTTAATTCACTTCAGCTTCTTAATCACTATCAAATTCATCATTGTTAGTGCCAATGTCATTGAAATCTTCATCCACCTCCTCTTCCTCGTCTCTTTTTTCGTGCCCCTTTGCTTCCACCGCTCCTCCCTCCTCCTGGTCAAGCCTAAAAAAAAAAAAAATCAGTCAGATACATTGAATTCTAAGCTGAGCAGTGAATTCTTAAGCACACTTAATTTGTCTCAGTAAATCGTTCAATACACTTCAACATATATACACACACACACAACACATTTAAGTTAAAATAATCTTATTAATGAAGTGTCTCTAATAATAATGCAATGTTGAAGGGATATAACGGAGCAGCGAGTAGCCTAAAATATATGAATCTCTTGCTGTAAAAAGCAATTCACCATTTACTGTCTTTGTCCACAAGATGGCCTATGTGCTGCACTGAAGAAACACATTTTTTGTTATAATGATGTATAAATTGTGATAGATAAAACTATATATTATTTGTGAAGTTATGTTCAGCTTTTTAATAAATCAACTTATTTTCCTCAGTCATCAAGGCAAGCTTAAACGCACTGGTCACAGACACGCAGATGTCATTTCCCCAAGCTGATTTCTTACTAACCCCCCCCAGAGTTATGTTTTCAGGCCATTTCAAGTTTGTTCTTTACATGACAAAGCTGTGATATCTAAGTGGTTGAGTTGTTCATTTACTTTTTAATTAGTCTTTCCAATAATGCCACCATTGCCTTCATTTAGGCTGATTCCAAAACGTGCAGAGGATGCGAGATTTATCGCAGGAACCAGTCATTACCAAATGTTTTAAATATTTTCTATTTATTAAATATTTACATTACATAAATATAGATTTATACTAGTGCACTATACCCAATTTGCACATACTTGTACATATATGGTCTGATTTTTCAAAAAGAGGCCTGAGTCTACTTACGGAATAACAATCTCTTCCTTCTTTCCACATTTGGCACAAAGCTCCAACTTTAGTGCACATGGCTTACATATGACGTGATAGGCATCCTTCACTGTTTTCTGAAGACACTTCACACTAAAAAAAACAACCCCACAGAAACAACATTCAGAAAAGGTTAACTGTGGAAGAGTTTATTTGTCTATTATCCGTTACTATGCAATAAATCCTCGCTCATCTCACCATTTTCGTAGCTGTGTAAGGGGCTTGTATTTGTTGTACTTGACTTTCCACTCCAGCACATCTTTGCAGTGCTGGCAAAGACCATTATGTACCTTTGTTTTGGCTTTCTGGAAACAGAAGAATGCAAGCAAATTCAGACAAAACACACGCAAAAATATCTTAAACAGCGCTATAGAAACAAAGCTGATATTATATAAACGTTAAATAAGAGACAATGTTTATTTTAGCACGAGCTTACCTTCACTTGTACGCTTGCACCGTACTTGTCATTTTTGAAGGCAATTAGATTCTGGTGTTTTTGGCCTCGCGAACGGGAAAGGTTACCTTTTTGATTGCTCATTTTAACGCTAAAACATATGAACTATATTAACGGTAACCGTTTAAAACGTCTAAACAAGAAACCGCGTGGCTTCCCACGTTTTAAAGTGACTATTGACGCAATGCGAAAATAGCGGAAGTAAATAGCAATTGGTTAATACTTTTCAACTTCAAACCGAAACGAAAGATTGCTAACTTCACAAAGCACGAGAAACGTCGAAAATGTTTAGCTCTATTTAATTCTCAACAAATTTAGCATTATATAGAGTTATGGATAAATAACGGCAAAATCATTAATCAACATGTTATTGTGTTTTCGACATCATCCGTGTGCAGAGAGGACGCGTGTGATTGGTTGAGCATATCTATAGATTAATCTGATTGGCCAGTAGAGCGTTGAACGTTGGCTGTGACATCCGGCATTCCGCAAGAAAATCAGAAGAAAGCCAGCGTTGGGCACGAGTTGGTGAGAGATGAGATCACCCATACCGGACGGATTAGAATAGGTATTAACGTTACGCCCTTATTAACACATTCAGGCTTTGCTTTCGTTTGACTATTAAACAGTGGCCACATGTTGACAAGATCGGACGGACCAGAGGTAGGTTTTGATGGACTCTTGATCTGGCTAAGTGGACGGAGTGATCTGTTAAAGGGAATCTCATATCTGACTCATCTAACACTGCGACTTCACCAGATCAAAGCGTTTCTGCACTCACCAACGATTCCATCCTCAAGACCTTCTAACACAGGTAATTAGCTGACCGAGCTAACAAAATAGCTCGTTTCAACCTTTTCAGTTAAACTGTTACACTCATTAATGTAATTAATATGTTAACTTAGCGTGTTTCAGTTAGCAAACACTTTTGATTCAATTGTGTGTCTCATTGTCACTGATACCTTCTAAATACCATCTTGTATTAACCCTGTAGATTATGATATCGAATACTTCCATTTTAAATGCATTTAGTGTGACAAGTCTCTAACGTTAATGTTTATATGAATATAAATTCATGTGGGCCAAGTGTTTGTTTATTACTTATAATTATGGGGAAATAATCTTTAAAAATCTTCTAGTGAGTGATATAACAGCTTCTTGTATCCCCCACCCCCCATTTTGACCTTTAATAATAATGCTAAAAAGATTAACCTCAGCTAATTATTTGGGATGTCGTGTGAGATATGTAGTATTGTAATGATAATTTTAGATTTTGCTTTCCCTTCAATGTGAACTCCAAATGCCCCAAACAAGATGGTTTCCTGCTTAATGAAATTGTGGGTGGGGATTTGCGTATCATGGGTCAGATCTGGGTCTGATTCACTGTGTTTTTTCCTCTCTGTTACCAAATTCTATGGTCTGCCAGTAAGTCACCTCACCTGGTCACCTACTTTGAGTTATTAATAAGGTGGTTAAGCGGTTTTACAAGGAAATTCTAGACAAATGTTTGGAATATTTATGTTGGATTACTGATGTGAAGTTTCTCAGGTTTGTAAACATTGGTTATTACAAAGAAGCCTAGCCTAGAATCCAAAAATATGAGGGTGTTTTTCAGCTGTCATGACACATAGATAAAGTGATCTGATCGATGATTGCACACACGTCAAAGCTAACCTCTGGGTGAAGTCTGAGAGTCACAATAAATGACATCAAATTAGCACTACACTGAATATTGAACATTTTTGTTAATGAAATCTGTTTCGTTTCATCCCAGATACTGATAAGTTTGTATTATTTGTGTATCCTTACAGTGTGGTGGAATTTTAATATTGATTTACTTTAAGCTACATGGAATAAACAATTTAAGGACAATACTCACCCTTTGGGTCACAACATTTCTGTCAGTTCATTTTTCAATTGAGTTAGAAGAGGTTTGCATATATTTACTCATCTTAAGTAAACTTCTTTGGGCAAGTGCATTGTTTGCATACATGGTTGCATCTGAATAAGTGTGTGTTTTTTAAATGCCAATGATGTCTCATCTTATTATGCAGATTCAATATTGATGCTTCACCTTTAAAATTGTAGTTTGCCCAAAAATGTAAAAGTTATAATTTAGAATGGTTTTGTTTTTTTGTACATTATTTTGTGGAACACAAAAGAAGTTTACTTTTTTTTAAAACTCTTTGTTAAATGCCAGTGTCCACAAAATTAAATTCTTTGGGGTTCAAAACAACATTGGGCACACTTTTATTCAAGATATTGTTCCCCTCAGAAGAAAGCCATAAAGGTTTTAAATGACATGGGGTTGAGAATTTTCATTTGTGTGAAGGATCATTTCAAGACAAACATTTGAATTTTTGTGTGCTTCCACCCCACTCATTTTCCAATCTGCTGTGTTGTTCTTCAGTGAAGGATGAATCACCTGTCATTGAGTGAGCTGTGTTGCCTTTTCTGCTGTCCACCGTGCCCGAGCAGAATAGCCTCCAAGCTGGCCTTCCTTCCTCCGGAGCCCACTTACACCCTCATATGTGACGAGAGCGGCAGCCGCTGGACTCTCCACCTTTCTGAGCGTGCGGATTGGCAGTACTCTGCCCGGGAGAAGGATGCCATTGAGTGTTTCATGACCCGGACATCTAGAGGGAACCGAATCGCCTGTATGTTTGTGCGATGTTCTCCCAACGCTCGCTACACCTTGTTGTTTTCCCATGGTAATGCTGTAGACTTGGGTCAGATGAGTAGCTTCTACATCGGCTTGGGCTCCCGCATCAACTGTAACGTGTTCTCCTATGACTACTCTGGTTATGGGGCAAGCTCAGGGAAGCCTTCAGAGAAGAATTTGTATGCTGATGTGGACGCTGCCTGGCATGCACTAAGAACAAGGTGAGAGTATACCTGAAAGCCACTTCATTTGTGTAGTTGTTTGAGGCTTTTTACAAACAGACAGTTTCTTCTGCTGTTGTCCTCCAAAAAATAAGCAGATCTATCAGTTTTTAAGGCCTCCCTGTATGCAACTGTGCTCTCTTTCCATGAAATGCGAAAAAAAAAAACCTGTTTTGTTTTCTTCCAATTTTGCTCCATTTTCCTGGCTGGTCTCTTAAGGGCCTGAGTGTGCTCGTTGTACCATGTCGTTGGACTATTTTCTTTAATCTTCTTTAAGTGCAAAGAAGCAACTGTGTCTAAAGTGCAGGAAAAGAGAGAGTTAAAAGTTTCTGTCGCAATTTCGAGTTCTTCTAAGCTATTTGGGATGATGAAACTGATCAGGAAGATTTTTTATAAAGCAAACTTTAGTGGAAGAAGTGATGCATCTAACATGTTTGTAACATGGAGTTGGCTTTGCAGCTAGGCTAACACAAGACAAGATAATGATCATCGCTCTGCTGCAGAATTTCAACGGCATCCACATTGTTTCCATGTGATAATATTAGATCTAGAGTAATATGATTACGACAATGAGTGGGTCCTGACACGTGTTGTCTAACTCCAATAGAATTAAGAATTTCTTTAAATGCCATTCCCATTTTTTTTTTCATTATCTACATGTATATTAAAATCATACATGTAGATAATGAAACCTATTTCTGGTGGCCTGTTGTATACTGTAGCCATCACAAATCTCAAATTTGATTTTTTTTTTTACACTAGACATTGTTGCATTAAGCACCAACACTAAACTAGACTTCTTAGTAATTCTGAAAATATTACTATAAATTACAGTAACACCCTCCCCCTTTGCCTTTCATACGAGGTTCATGTTTATAACCGTAATCTTGGGGGATGGACTCATTTAAAGAAATGTAATTGTTTGGTTCTTGCCAGGTTTCTGTCAAACACAGCACATCTAGGTTATAGTCTGTCATTTGCTCATTTCTATTATATCGTTTTTTTTTTGCTGAACATCAATTACGTTTTTACCAATAGATGGGTTTGGAAGTTTTTTTGTATTTCCTAATATAATTTGGGGAAGAGACACAGTCTCTATATGATGAAATCTAGTGATGGGATTTATCTGACCTCAGTGACATGAGACAGCTAGCAGACGGTCGGTTTAGCCAGTCTGTCGTCTTCCTGATTTGAGCCCCGAGGAGAGAGAAGAGAGAGTTACTAGAAAGAAGCGCAGCACCATCCCAGGAGGGATGAATACTAGCTCTTTTCAACAGGTCACGTCTGCCCCAAAAACTCTTCCAATTGTCTATGCAATCTATATTATTTTGCGGACACCACTTACACAGCCAGTCATTGAGTGAGGAGTCTACTAACTATCTCATCACTCCTTCAAACAGGAAGGCGGTCAGAGCAAATTACAGTGCCTGACATCGTACTTGCGAGTTCACACACCTCTTTAATGTTAATTTTAGTGATCTCCGACTGGCGAAGTCGAACATCATTTGTGCCGACGTGAATAATAGTCTTAGAGAATTTACGATTACCATTAGCTGGTACTTTTAAATTTGCTTTGCTGTCTCCCGGAGCCAGACAGGCTGGTTTAGACATGGTTCAGAAATAGGCTAAATGAAAGATTTGAAATGTGTCTGTAATTTGCCAATTCATTTGGATCTAGTTTTGGTTTCTTAAGAGGCTAAATAATAGCCATCTTGAAGGGTCTTGGGACATGACCTAGAGTCAGAGACAAGTAGGTAATGTTGACAATAGTCTTTTGTGCTATAGGTAACAACTCTTTCAGTAGTTTTTTGGGTATTGGATCTAATAAACATATTGTTAGTTTCTTTAGATCTACCTGTCATATAGTTGTAATGCCCTGCAATAATTCGTTTTTGTGATGGTGGCAAAGCTAAATTCTCAGCAGGCAATACTTTAGATATCACTGTCACATGTTTTTTCAGAAAACATATTATACTGATTTGGTGCTAAAGAAATATTTCTTATTACTATTTATGAATGTTGAAAAATTATGTTCTTTAACATTCTGAAACATTATAACATGAAAGTCTTTTACGGTCAATTTTATCAAGTGATCATTCAAATTCTTATTTACTGCAGTAAATGAGTACGATAATAATATTTATTTTTTTTGTGCCACGTCTCTTGTTTAGTGCATTGTTTTTGCAAATGGTGTGCAGCGGTGCAAGTTAAATATAGTGTAGCTTTTAAAAACATGTCTTGAGTTGAGACCCCTGCATTCTGTTCCATTGACTTTAAAATGTTTCTCAAGAAGCATTTGTCCTGTGTTCTTGTCCTTTTTCCATCCTGCGCCTTTAAACGCAAGAATGCTTTGAGTGAACAGCGTTTAAAACGTGTCGAGTGAACCGGACACCATTCTATTTATACACTGTAACCCTCCAACTGGTTGATTTAAAAAAAAAATATGTAGATTTGAATTTTGAACATCCCAAAATACTAACCATTCATATTCCTATGGATCTATAAAATAATTACACAAACATTTGAGTATCTAGCTGGTTGACTCTGCTTTTGGTCTTTGTCCTTGTGAGTTTCTAGGGCTTGGGGGGAGGGGGGAGGGGGGGATCTATTTAATATTGCCTTTACCTCTTGGATCCCATCCCCCATCTGCGTGTCCTGTGCTTTTTTAAAATCCTTTGGAGTCCTTTACGATGGACTCATAATGTCAAGAGTCATGTTAAGTTTAATTTCCTCATAGATGGTTGAATCACACTAACTCAGACCTCAGATGGCTGAAGTGTTTTGTTTTTTTTGTCCCAGTGGCAGCTATTTGAGACACTGTGGACATAGGCCTAGAGAAACTATCTCAAGGCCGTTCACTGTATCATGTGCCCTAAATCCGTCTTTACGCATATCATTGGGGTTACTAGTAATGAGAACTTAGTTTTCATTTCTGTTAATTGCTTGTTCTTCGATGTAGCAAGATTTTGCCGTTTCGTCGTTCTTGCAAGAGGGAGAATAACATACAGAATGGCTTTGTGTTTGACCACATTGTTTTGAGTTAGTGTGTGTGTATAGTAGCCGTGTGCTGCGTCTGTATGTGTGCATGCATGCATGCATGCGGTGTCAGAAAGTACAGCTGATGCTCTTGAACAGAGTCCAGGCTGTTTGACAAGTCATATCCCTGAGGGTTAGGTCGTACCTCATAAAGCAGTCCCACGCTGTTCTTCTGGTCACTTTCAATGTTCTCACGCATCGCCATATCAGCCACAGAAGATGCATCAGGCCATCCCACACAAGGACACCGTTCAGATTACAGTGCAGATAAACTAGTCTGACTGACTGCCACTCTGAAGAATATAACTTTATTGTGTGTGTTTATGTAATTATGTTTGTGTAAGGTGTTTTTGTGTGTTTTGAGAGAGGAGTAGAAGTTGGCTGGCCCATCCCAATCTTCTCTTATTCCTATAGACCATTTCACAAGATGTAAACAACACTGGCCCAGAAGCACTTCCTGTTTCAGTTTTTTAACACTACATAAAAGCTGGGATAAAATACAACCAACAGAACATTTAAAACTGAATCAAAAAGTTAAACATCTTTAAGATGTTTTTTTACATGTGAAATAAAGAAAACAGTTACAAACTGTAACAGGAAGTGCTTCTGGACAAGTGTTGTTTACATCTTGTGAAATGGTCTATAAAACTGTGGCTCCTGCTGGGATTTTTTCTCCCCCTTTATTTATAGAAACACATTTTTTTAGCTTGGTAGGTCACCATTGTGTGCAGTTCTTTCCCCACCATTTCTGGAGGATAATTGGATCTCATTTTGTTAAAGATGACCAGCATTGCCTGTTTTATTATTATTACATTGATTGAAAATGATTAAATTGATATATTGCATATATCCAAACCTTTTAATTGAAGAAAATCTGTGGAATGAAGGCCTTTTATTTTTAAAGAACATTTGTGGAAGGAGTCTTTTGGACTTTAAATGTTTCACTGCAGTAAAGTGTTTTTAAAGGGAAATATTTCTGTGTTTGCGTGAGGGTGTTGGGTTTTCATCTGCTTTTCAGTTTTTGATAGTACTGTAAACATCCCTCAAAAATATAATCTTCCCAACAGCTAGCATAAAGAGCACCTGCCTTTTTAGATGTCTGTTGAAAATATTTACCTTGGAAATTCTCCATCTGATCTCAATAGACAAGAGTGCTTATCAGACCATGTTGATTGACTCGGCGAGGTGTACAACAAAGGTTTTTGTTTTTTTTTTGTTTTTTTTGCTCATCCCTTTATTGAGTGGCCAGTGATTATATGATTTCTAATCACAAAAAGCAGCTTTTACTTCAAGTAGCAAGATCACAATTTTGATTGTGTATGTGTACCATGTCAGTTTACTGCGTTCATTGTTCACTCTGTCTGGGTTTATGTCGGACTTACTGTACATGATTCTTCTTATTACAAGGCTACTTATGAATTAAGTGTTGATTTGACTTTTATCATGTGAGATGAAATTCATGAAACTAAACACTGCAATCAAATTGTATAGGATTGGAAATCAGTTGTCACAAAGGTCAGATTATTCAGTCAACATTATACCATTTTTAAAAAAAAATTAATTTTAAATTATTATTTAAATCAATTTTGTGCCTTCTTGACCTAGTAAATCATTTTTAGGTGTGTATAACAATATTGATCATTCTGGCTGATGGAAAAACCAATAATTGTATATTATGTTATGGATCATCAACTTATACTAGTATACACGACAAACATGCTACTTGTGCATAGTAACTCTCTCCATCATGTGTTTTTTAAAGCCACAATGAAACGGAAGTAGAGGCAGATCTTTTCTTTCATATTGTGGGTTACATTTGAACTGATAATCAAAAAAAGAAATTATCAGTCAAGAAATTGGTTCTATCCATCATCATTTGTTGACCGGATTTTGAAATGTGCGTTTTGAACTCAATGTGAGCTTGCAGTCGATTGGGGCAGGGCTTAAATAAATTGAATGATTGG